CCGGACGATGGCATAGACGGAGTAGAACCCAGTCACCCACCGCGTAGGAGACTTGCCGGTGCAGCTTGTCGTAGTGCAGCTACTGGACCGCCTGGGCTTGTTCAAGCCGGTAGCGGACGTCCTCCAGAAACTCGTCGCGGTCTACCATGCTCTTGGTGACGACAGCGACAAGAGTCTCGCCCGGCTCATAGGACCGAATGGTAGGCGGATCCCGGCCGTAGACCACCCGGAACGGCGTGCCGTGGAGCGAAGTTTGATAGGCCGTGTTGTAGATGTATTCCGCCCACGGCAGCCAGCGAAGCCACTGACGGGGTTGGTCGCCGGTGAAGCGGCGTAGGTACATGACAATGACGCGGTTGGTTGCCTCCATCTGGCCATCCGATTGCGGATGAAAAGCCGTTGTCATGTGCAGCTTGGTGCCCATGAGGCGCATCAGCTCCCTCCAGAACTTGGAAGTGAACACCGGATCGCGGTCGGACACCATCGATTGAGGCATGCCGTGGAGTCGAACAATGTCGATGAAGAAAGACTGGGCCACGGACTCTGCAAAATACGGGTGAGCCAGGGGAATGAAGTGGCAATACTTGCTGAAGCGATCCACCACTGTCAGTATGATAGATTTTCCCCCAACGCGCGGCAGCGCCTCAACGAAGTCCAGACCGATGTCGGTCCAGACCACCTTCGGGACCGGCGGCGGCATGAGCAGGCCAGCCGGATGAAGATGTTCCGATTTGTATCGCTAGCAGGTGGAGCATGCTCGGACGTAGTCCTGGACCATGCGGCGCATGTTGGGAAAGTGGAACTCGCAGCGGAGGCGGTGCACGGTGCGCTGCACACCCTCGTGGCCGTCCTCGTGCACGGCGGTCATGATTTCCGACAGTAGTGGTGACGCCGGCGGAACGTAGAGGCGGGAATCATAGGCCACCATGCCGTCGATGAGGGACCACGGCGCCGCCCGGGTGCCTGCAGTGATCTCGTCCTTGATGGCGACGAGGGCCGGATCGGTGTCCTGAGCCTGGCGGAGGCGCTCGATGTAGTCGAACCGAGGCGCGGAGATGGCGAGGACAGCGCCCTCTTCAGTGTCGCGGTGCGAGAGGGCGTCGGCCACCGTGTTCGTAGCGCCGGGCTTGTACTCAACGGTGAAGTCGAACCCGAGGAGCTTGCCGACCCAATGATGATGTGGGATCGTCGCGAGGCGCTGGTCGAGGAGAAATTTGAGGCTGTAGTGGTCCGTGCGCACCAAAAAGCAGCGTCCCCAGAGATACGGACGCCAATGATGGACGGCGTGGACAAGGCCGATCAGTTCCCGTTCGTAGGCGGCGAGGGAACGGTGTCGCGGCGCGACGGGCCGGCTGAAGTAGGCAATCAGGTGTTTCTCCTGGATGAGCACTGCCCCGAAACCATGGGTCGATGCATCGCACTTGACGACGAACGGCTTGTCGAAGTCCGACAGGGACAAAACCGGAGTTGAGGTGACCGCGGCTTTGAGGGCCTAGAATGCCGCGGTGGCGTCAGGGGTCCAGCGAAACCCTTCCTTCTTTAACAGCGCCGTGAGGGGAGCCACAATGGTGCCGTAGTCGTGGACGAACTTGCGGCAGTACCCCGCCAAGACAAGGAAGCCCTGTACTGCATGCGCCGAGCGTGGCTAGGGCCAGTCACGGACCGCCTGCACCTTGGCGGGATCCATGGCAACGCCGGCCTCGGTGATGACGTGCCCCAGGTAGGAGATGGAGGCGACCCCAAAAGCGCACTTAGAACGCTTGACGAAGAGCCGGTGCTGTTGCAGCACGGTGAGGAAGGCACGGAGGTGCCGGAGGTGATCTGCCCAAGATGAGCTGTAGATGAGGATGTCATCAAAAAACACGAGCACAAACCGGCGAAGGAAAGGGCGCAGGACATCGTTCATCAGCGCTTGGAACGTGGTCGGAGCGTTGCACAGCCCGAACGGCATCACCAAAAACTCGTACAGCCCGTCGTGTGTGCGGAACGCCGTCTTGGCGATGTCAGCGGGGCACATGCAGACCTGGTGGTAGCCCGAGCGGAGGTCTAGCTTGGTGAAGAACTTGGCGCCGTGGAGTTCGTCCAGCAACTCATCGACCATCAGGATGGGGGAAAAGCATCCTTGACGGTGATCGCGTTCAAGGCGCGGTAATCGACGCAGAAACGCCACGACCCGTCGGCCTTCTTGACGAGGAGGACCAGGGAAGAGAAGGCCGAGGAGCTACGACGTATGAGCCCCTGGTCCAGCATGGCGGCGTATTGCCGCTCCAGCTCGTCCTTGTGCGTCGCCGGGTACCGGTAGGGGTGGACCGCCACGGGCTGCGATCCTGGCAGGAGGATGATGTTGTGGTCTCGGCTGCGAGGAGGAGGCAGCCCGTGGGGCTCGGCGAAGGAGTCGAGGAGCTCGTCCAGCAGGGTGGCGCTGGCAGTAGTTGCGCGGAGGTCGGGTGCGGCAGGGCCTGCCATCCCGTGCCAGCAGACGTCACGCGTGTTCCGCTTGAATGTCATCGTCCGGGCACGGAAATCCCAGAGGATCGGCCCCAGCGACGCGAGCCACTGCGTGCCGAGGACCACGTTGTAGCCGGCGAGAGGCATGACGAACAAGTCTGCGGCGAAGGTGTCGCCGCTGATGGTGAGCGCGGCCTGGTGGATGACGCCCAGGCAGGAGACGCGCTCGTCGTTGGCCACCGTGGCCGTCAGGTGAGGACGGTGCTGCAGAGGAAGTCCTGTGCGCTGTGCGGCTGCCTCGGAGATGAAATTGTGGGTCGATCCGGACTTGAGGAGTGCGATGAGGGACGTGTCGCCCAGCGTGACCTATATTTGCATCGTGTCGCTGAGGTGGACGCCGGCGATGGCGTGGAGCGAGAAGTGGGGGCTCGTCTCGGTGGCGCCCTCTTCAATGTCCTCGTCGTCCTCCACAACGCCCTACAACAAGAAAAGGCGCTTGCAGACCCGGTTGTGCCCTCGGCCGAACTTCTCGTCGCAATTGTAGCAGAGGCCCAAGCGACGGCGTTCCTCCTGCTCAGCCTGGGTGAGGCGCTTGACCGGCCGGTCCTCCACGGTGACTGTGGCCGGGGCGATCGAGGTGTTCATGGGCGGCGCCAGCATATCAAGACGCAGTGCGGGCGCCGGTAAGAGTGCTCGGGGCGCCGCGCGAGGTGGAGGCGCCGCGTACTGCTCCCGCAGTTCGAGCTTGCGTGCCAGGCTCATAGCTCCGGTGAGGGACTACGGATTATGCACCTCGACGTCGATGCTGAGCGGCGGTTGGAGGCCCGTGGTGAAGAGCTGGACCCGTTGTTCCTCGTCCAGGCGGCCCGCGCGAGGGAGGAGAGCTTGGAAGCGATCCTGGTACTCCGCGACGGTGCCCATGCGCTTGCACGCCGCCAATTCGCCGAGCGGGTTCAAGCGCAGAGGAGGTCCGTAGCGCAGGTGCAGCAGGTCCTTGAAGCGGCGCCACGACGGAATTCCCTCGTCCTGCTGTATCTGGATGTACCACATCTGGGCACCTTCCTCCACATTGTAGGAGGCCATCCAAACCTTCTCCTCCTCCATGATGCGCTGCTGGTGGAAGTAGGATTCGCAACGGTTAATGAAGATGAGCGAATCGGATTTGCCATCATACCGTGGAAAATCCAAATTCTGGAACCGTGGCGGCCGGTCCTGGTGGTGCTCCCCTGTGGCGGACTTGTTGCCGGAGGAAGACGACGTCGGCTGGGCAGCGTTCAGGCGTTGGATCGCCTGAGAGTTGGTATCGACTAATGCCTGCAGAGACTTGAGGGTGGCGGCCAGGGCGTCCAGAGTAGCCTATAGGGCGGCCTCCTGGTCTCCCATGACAACGGCTTGGTGAGGGGTGGGCGGGGCAGAAGGAGTTCGGAGCGGCGGCGGAGGAGAGGATGATCGGCTAGGCGAGGAAGGCCTGGATCATGATACCAGGTTGTCAAGGACGTCATGTCCGAGACTAGCAGGTCCCCGGCTACGGAGTTCGTAGCCGCGACCCGTGGTAGCTGGACGAGGTTTTGCCCCTCAGCTCCAGTCGGTTTAGAGGAAGAAGAAGAGAGATTAGGTAATAATTCTTGCTTGATTATTAATCATCCTGAGTATTCTCATATATAGGCCGTTCGGCACTACAAATTGGAGCTAATTGCTCCTAATTCTAAGGCCTTGATCGGCTGTTATTTCCTTCTAGCCACTTGCCATTTCTTCCTGATCTGCATGCCTGGTGACCACGCCCATATCTTCAGCTGGCGCGCCTGCCTGCATGGTGACCGCGCCCAAATCCTCAGTGGCTCTGCGGCCATCCCGGGCACGCCGTTTCCTTGTATAGGCGTGGCCCCACATGACATACGAGGATTACAGATAGGATATAAAAAAAATTAGACCCACGGGCAGAACGAGGTACCTTATCATAAGCAGTCGGGTACATAATTTCAGATATGTGTCATTCTTTTGCAACTGACAACTGTCACTGTAGCAACATAACACTAGCTCAGTACTTCTTGCAGAAAACTGCAATAGTGACACTGGCACCATAATCATGGCAACAATGTAGCAATCAGTACTTCTTACAGCAAACTGCAATAGTAACACTGACACTATGATCATGGCCAAATAATATCGACCAGTGGTGCTGCTTCAGCCTGCATCATAGCGGAATCTACTACCAATGTACTCCAACTTCACTTCTATTTAAATTAGCAGTTTGTGTATTCTCCAAAAGCACCACGGTCACCTGATTTATGGCCTTATAACTTCTACGATGTAATCATTCACATATATTGCTTCCGAGACAGTTAGCCATTTGGCCTCAAATCCCGACAATCTTACTTCATGCCATTCAAATCATCCATATGCCCAAATCTTCCAAGCATTTACCTAAGATTAGTGCTAACAAACAAATAGTTCCATCCATCAGCAAATTTGTACTTCTGTCTACGAGACCACTATCTGTTCTGCAAAAGAATGTTATTATGAGTACGGAAAGAGCATAACTGAAATTGAAGTCACCCACAATAATCAACTGCACTCCAACCTACACCTTTTTGAACTCCATGATTCTTCATCGTTTCTCTTAGTTTCTCTATCTCATCCCATTTTTTAGCACTGCCATAAGAATTAGATATTAAAATGTAATATCCCTCATTTTCTGGTTCAGAAGCAAATGCCTTTTTTGCAATCCTTAAACCCATCTCAAAGTTGTCATGCAATTTGCAGGCACTAAGCAAAGTTCCCCATATCCCGCCATCAGGTTCTACTGGCATGGCTAAAACCATATCTTCTGCTTCTTGGAGATGCCCAGATTTCCCTAGGAGATCCACCATGCAGGCGTAATGCTTCAGGTTAGGCTCAAGTGAGTATTTTCCCATTCTTGTGAACAGCTTCCTGCCCTCCTCAAGAAGCCCTGAATGGCAGCAAGCAGATAGAATAGCAAGAAAGGTGACACCATTAGGCTTAATACTTCCTCCTTCCATCTTACCAAATAATTCTAGTGCTTGTTTTGCTTCCCCATGCATCCCGTACCCTGATATCATAACATTCCATGCAACAACATCATGTTGAAGCATAGAGTCAAAAATCCTTCTTGCAATTCCAAGCTGCCCACATTTAGCATACATGTCAACAAGTGCTGTGTTGATTGATACATCATAGTCCCACCCCATTTCTTTAACGTAAGAATGTATCTTCTCTCCACGTTCCAATGCAACCAAGTTTGCACAAGCTGAAATGACAGTGATCAAGGTTGTTGAGTTGGGTGTCAGGCCTTCAGTGAGCATTTGATCATACAGTGACACCGCAGCATTTGAATGTCCCAGATGAGCATAGCTAGATATCAGTGTATTCCATGTGACAACATCCCCCTTCAGTTTGGCCAGGCCAAATATTTTGCATGCATGATCAAACTTTCCGCACCTCCCATACATGCCAATTAAAACATTTGCAACTGATGAATCCTCATCAAGCAAGTGCTTGATTGAATAACAGTGTGCTGATCGACCTAGTCTTAGTTCCGCTAGCCGTGAGCAAGAAGAGATTACCGAAACCAAGCTGTTGGCACCACACAGGAATTCATACTTATCTCTGAACTGCATCTCACGATACAGCTCCAAGCATTTGACATCACATCCAGCTTTGCAGTTTGCTACAATCATCAAGTTCCATGAGTCCGCATCTTGTTGCCGCAACAATCTAAAAACTCTGCCTGCACAGTCCACCAATTCAAATTTTCCATACATCGATATCAAAGCATTTCCAATCAAACACTATCTCCAAAGTTTCTCTTCGTTATAACCGCATGAAATGCCTTCCCTCCATGTACATTGCCACTGTTACCCAACCCTGAAAGCACACAACTAATGAGAACCTCATCTGGCTGCAGACCTGATCCCATCATCTCCTGGAACAACCCCATAGCCTCCATAATAAGCCCTCTCCAGCAGTATATTCCAATCAAACTTGTCCAGGAAACCACATCTTTCTCTGGCAACTCTGGGAATAACGTGCATGCATCCTCAGTGCTGTGACACTTCGAGTACATAGAGAAGAGGGCAGAATTTACCAAGGGGGGATCACCAACCCCGACCTTCACTACATACCCGTGCAGGCATCTACCAGAATTCAGCTCATCTAGCACCCTGCACGCCCCAAGCCACTCTCCATCGTCCGTGAGTTTGGCCTCGCCTCGCCATCACCTGCAAACCTGACCATCTCTACCAGGTAGCGCAGCCCCTCCCCACACTCCCCGTTCCGCACGCACCCGGATACCACCGCGGTCCACGCGACCACGTCCCTCTCAGGCATTTCCTCGAACACCTTCACGGCGTCTCCGACGACGCCGCACCGCACCTAGCGTACATATAAACCAGAGAAGATGCGACGGCGACGGAGCCGCCATCGCCGACGAGGAGGCCGTACCTGACGCAGTACGCGTGCACGGAGGCGCCGACGCCGAGCGCGCCGAGCTCAGCGGCGGCGGAGGCGGCGAGCGGCGTGGTGAAGGGGGAAGGCCGTGCACCAGAGGCGAGCATGCGACGGTGGGCGGCGAGCGCGGCCACGAAGTCTGAGGCGCAGTGGTGGGTGCGGATGAGGGAATTCCAGAGGAATGCGTCGGGACAGGGGGAAGCCGAGAAGGCGAGCGCGGCGAGCCCGGGGCGCCCCGCAGAGGAGTAGGCGGAGACGAGCTTTGCGGCGAGGTCGGGGCGTTGAGACAGGCCCGAGGTGACGGCGAGCGCGTGGATGCGAAGTAGCTCGGGCACCGACGAGGGAGACGGCGACGAGAGGAAGCGGGAGAGGATGGCAAGAGGGGTCGCGGCATGGGGCGGCGGCATTTGATCGCGCGTTCGAATAGTTCACCCGTGCACACAGCACACTGCACTTTAGCCGGAATTCAGAAACGGGTGCTCTGAAGATAAGAATTCGGAAACGGGTCACGTACACAATGACATACTGATACGTGGACTTCGATTCGAAGGAATGTTTTTTGAATCCATAATCTGATCCTAGTTTTACTAGTTCCAAAGTTTCGTTTTAGAAAAACTTCCAACATTGTTTTTTGAAGGAAAAACTCCAAAGCGTACTCAGTTTTTTTTTTAAAAAACTAAAAATGAGTCCTCGTGAAACATATGTAAAGTGTAAAATAATATTAGCAGTCTCAAAATTATCCAATCATCTTTATTATTCAGAAATGCTATACAACACATATGTGTTTTAGTAAAAAAAAACACATGGATTTTTTTATCTCTCTCCCTCTCTCTTTCTCACCGGTGACCACCAGCGATCGGCGAGCTCGCCCTGGCACCCGCACCCGCGCCGGCCATGGCAGTGGCGGTGGCGACGGCGGCAGCGCCCGCGCCCGCGTCGGCCATGGCAGTGGCAGTGGCGGTGGCGGCGGCGGCGGATCTGTGATTTGTCCTTCTATAAAAAAAATTGTGATCTGTGATATGTGGAGGCTGGAGGTAGAAAAAAGATAGAGGCTGTTGGATCTTAATCCTATGGTGCAAAAAAAAATCATGTGTTGAAACTGCATAAAACACATAGAGGCCCCGTTCGCTGGTTTGAACTTTAGCTGAAACTGGCTGAAAAACACTGTTCCGGCTAAATTATTGTGAGAGAAAAATACTGTTCCGGCTGGAAAAATAAGTCGAACAAGTCAAATTTAAGACAAACGAACGAGACCAGAGTTGTGTAGTGGACAAAGAAAAAACTCCCGGCAGTCGTGGATCTACGATCTACGAATCACAAGGACATGACAGAAGATTTTACTCAACAGACCGATCTGACGTGAAAATTTACCTCCGGGACTGTAATAACTGGTAAGAGCAGTAGTAGTAATCGTTGAATTTCCTGCAGATGGGAAGGGTCGGGGAGAAGCTCGACATCGACTTCGTGGTATCCACCGGGGTCAACTTCTACGACACCGGGCTGACGGGCGTTGATGACGATGCGTTTGAGCAATCCTTCACGGACATCTACAGGGCGAACAGCTTACAGAAGCCGTAATTGAACCTGAAACTCGCGCTCTTCTATTACCAGTTCTATTCCTCTTGTATCGATGCGACGACGGAAAATACTCTTGTATTATATGTTCACTGAGGCTTCATTGTGGACGCGTGCGTTTTCAGTTCTGGGAGATCATGACTACAAGGGTGACGCACTAGCTCAGTTTAGTCCAGCCCTGCGGAAGATCGACAGCCGGTTTATTTGCATGAGATCATTCATCGTGAATGCTGGTGCAAATTTACTTGTGATACGACTGATTTGGATACGAGAGAATTCTATTTTACACTGGGGCCTTGTTTAGATCGGGGTTAGGAATCAGTATTTGGCACTGTAGCATTTTCGTTTATGTTTGATAATTATTGTCCAATCATGGTCTAACTAGGCTCAAAAGATTCGTCTCGTAATTTACAATCAAACTGTGTAATTAGTTATTTTTTTATCTACATTTAATACTCCATGTATGTGTCTAAAGATTTGATGTGATGGAAAGAGAGTGAAAAAACTTGCAATTTAAACAAGGCCTGGGAAAATGAGTCGTTCCTTTTTTGGCCTGAAATTTTCTTCGTTCCTTATTTGACACTCACTTCAACTTTCATCCATAATTTGACACTACCGTCAAATCCGTTAGCTAACGGTGTTAACTGGTTGTTAAAAAGACGTTTTTGCCCCTAGAAAAAAAAACGGCGAAGCAAATTTGAGAGGGAAAAAAACTGCGCCCGCTTCTGATGCATGCGCCCAGCTGCAAAAAAAGGCGCAGGTTTTTTTTCCTCTCAAATTTGCTTCGCCGTTTTTTTTTCTAGGGACAAAAACGTCTTTTTAACAGCCAGTTAACACCGATAGCTAACGGATTTGACGGTAGTGTCAAATTAGGGATGAAAGTTGAAGTGAGTATCAAATAGGAAACGAAGAAAATTTTAGGATCAAGAAAGGAACAACTCATTTTCTCAGTGTCAAATAAGGAATTCTCTCCTTAGATACATGGTTGTTTCAGCATTTGACATGGCTTTTACTCTCTCCAGCTTAGGATTGCACCACTCTAGCTCCTGCTAAGCCCTGCTGATATTTGAGACTACAGATTACTACTTTGCAAATTAGTGTACCCAATGAGAAGTGATGGTTTCGTAGCAAATTGATGTAACTTGTTGCATCTCATGATTTTCTGACTACAAGTGACATGCTACCGATTATCATGAACTGTTTCGGGGTCATAGAAGGTGTGCAGTTAGTATATGATTTCGAACTTCTATAGAAATTAAGTTGTCGATTTCTTCAGAAGTACAAAAACACATTGCTTTTATTCAAAATTACAGCCTACTGTTCACAATCTTCCCTTTGTTGCTGCTATATTGGTTGCTTCAATAAATTATTATATTGTTATTTTGGTTAAGAAAACAGGAAAATGGAAATATTTATATCGCCATTAGGTGGTGAAAGGATCAAGATGCCTAAGAGGGAGGTGAATTGGACTAATTCTAAATTTTCTTGCAATAATCAAATCCTACGGATAGCCCAATTAAGCCTTTGTGCCTACAAAAGTGTTTCTATCAAACTAAGGCACAAAAGACTTGCAACCTATGTTCCAAACTTAATCTAGCATGGCAATTCTATGAATGTAAAGACAAGTATTGAATTGCTTAAAGTAAATAATCAAAGTAAATGCTCGAAGTAAAGAGAGAGAAGAGCGCGGCGATGTTTTGCCGAGGTATCGGAGAGTCGCCACTCCCCACTAGTCCTCGTTGGAGCACCCGCGCAAGGGTGTAGCTCCCCCTTGATCCGCGCAAGGATCAAGTGCTCTCTACGGGTTGATTCTTCGACACTCCATCGCGGCGAATCACCCAAAACCACTCACAGTTTGAGTTGGGACACCCACAACCTCCGCCGGGTGATCACCAAGCTCCCAATCACCACCAAGTTGTCTAGGTGATGGCGATCACTAAAAGTAACAAGCACGAACTCTCACTTGACCACGCGAAGCCTAATGAGAAGATGGATGCACACTTGACTACTCTTGATTCACTAATGAGGTTTCACTCTTGGATTCTCAAATCACAAACACCTCACTAGGACCTTTCTCTTCTTGGCACTCACAAACGTGTTTCTCAGCTGTTGGAATGAGCAAAAGTAACTCCACACACGAGTGGAGCTTCTATTTATAAGGCAGCCTGAAAAACGAACCGTTATGTGCCTCTGCGGGGTGACCGGACGCTTTGGTCAGTTCAACTCGCATACCAGTGAAAATGTGTTGACTGGACGCTGACAGGGTTCGGTCACCACTGACCGGACGCGTCCAGTCGCATTAAAACCTTACTTGAACCTTACTGTACTCGACCGGACGCTGAACCCCCAGGGTCCGATAGTACTTACCGAACACGTCCGGTCGTAGATTCTCTTCTCTGGAACCTTACTGGAGTCGACCGGACGCTGCCTTTCAACGTCCGGTCACTTGACCACTCCAGCGTCCGGTCGCACCGAACACAGTCTCTTGATCAAATGAACTGACCGGACCCTGCGGCCAGCGTCCAGTCAGTATTTGACCCTCCATTCACCTTCAACTCTCGACCATGTGTGAATGAAGTTTGCTCCATTGGATCATAGGGCTGTTGTGGAGCTACCTAGTGCTAGTTTTAACAAGTGTGCACCACACCTAACTCACTAGACTCATCTAGGTCAAGCTACCCGTCCATACCCCCCTTAATAGTACGGTCAAAGGAAAAATAAAGTCCTAAACTACTCTAAGTGTCACTCCAACTCCAATCGACACTTAGAACTAGTCATCCTTAACCTTGTCGTCCATCCTTTGAAAACTGAAACGATTTCCATCGTAGGGGCATGACCACCTCGATTGTCCAATCGATCTCCATTACCATGACCTAACTTAATTGCCTCTGCAAAACACACGTTAGTCATAGTAATCTTGTATTGTCACTAATCACCAAAACCCAACTAGGGGCCTAGATGCTTTCAATCTCCCCTTTTTTGGTGATTGATGACAATACCACATCGAGTATGTGAAAGAGTGAGGTTTTTGACGGACTTGGTTCATATAAGCTTTTGTCGATAAGAACAAAAGTGTTAGTCAAGCTTATATGACCCAAGCCAACACAATGTACTCAAAGGATATGAATTAAGCATGAGTACGAGTAACAAAGCTCATTTGCAAAGGAGTATAAACACGGAAGCAAAGGCAAATGAGCATAACACAAGTGATATGACATATAAATAATGTAAAGTAGAGAGCACACATGTCATATATCACAATCACGTAGATATCACTATCACATAGATATAATAGTATGCATGAAAGTAACACACGAATGCATAATAGTAATAGAGTATCACACAAATAAAACTCCAAATATATATAATAAGCTAATACAAAAAAACAAGCTGCCCCTAAACGATGCTCCCCCTGAATCTACATACTCGAACCCTCTCCCCCTTTGGCGTCAAACACCAAAACTAAGGGTCGGTCAGTGGGGCTGCAGCGGACGAGTCGGGCGCTGAAGTACGTGTAGCAATGTGGAACTAGGCGCCATCATCATCTGACCCTGAGCTATGAACTGACTGACCCTCTGAGGCAGGAAGTGTCGCTGAAGCAGTCTGGGTCTGAGCTGGGGCCGGTGCTGTCTGTGAGGCTGCTGGTACATCTGTCAGGTCTGAGGAAGCAACTGAGCTGGGAAGCCTCTGTGTCGTCACGACGACTATAGCTGTAGTAGAAGGACCCGATGCATGCATATGTGGCAGTGTAGGCATCCCTGTCAACTCACTGAAAGATGCTCCAAGACTCCTAGAGACTGATGTGTCAGGCACGAAAAGCGAGGATAACTGA